AAATTTGTCCAGAAGCCACTTAATCATACTAGGATTATCTATGAGAGGGAGATTTTTTAAAATGTAGAGTTTTGTTTTTAACTCCAATTTAGCCTAAGGCAGCTTCAGTTTAACTTTTCGTTCAACAAGGATAAAAATACTATGAACTAAAACCAAAAGCCAAACTATTCTTTTGGAAAATCTTCAAATCCGTATTTTAAATGATCTACTGGATATTAAGATGCTAATCTATGGATACTAAAATTCAAAATAAATAATAAACCCATACTCTAAGACCAAGGAAGTTAGTTCCCTGACTTAACCCCTGCTCAAATTTTTCCCTCTTTCTGCATGTCATATTGGATATAGTAGTACTTTTCAGACTCATGTAACAAAAAAAAAGAGAAAAGAGAAAGGCTACAAAGTCTTGCTAATGTTACCTAAACACGTTCAAGTTCCTACATTTTGTGTTGAAAATATTATTTAATGAACTTTAGTTTAAAAGCTCTCCAGGGCACCTGGGTGGCTCAGTCAGTCAAGCGTCTGCCTTCAGCCCAGGTCATGATCCCAGGGTCCCGGGATCAAGTCCCTCATTGGGCTCCTTGCTCAGTGTGGAGCCTGCTTCTTTCTCTCCCTCTGCCCCTCTCCCACTGCTCGTGTTCTCGCTCTCTTTCTCTCACGTGTTCTCTCTCAAATAAAAATAAAAAAATCTTTTAAAAAAATAAAAATAAAAGCTCTCCTACTGTGGAACATTTTAAGTGACAAGGATTTTAAATAAACAGTGTATTTATATGTTATATATATACAATATATATATTATATATATATATTACAGCCAACAAGTGTTTGTTGCTTAATTATGTGCAAAGAATTTGAAAGCTAGATAAACTATCACAGTGACATTCCTGCTTCTTTTAGAGGTCATTCCTTGACATCTGCTATTTACAAAAGGCAAGGGGGATTTTTTCGGGGTCATTCCTCCAAGCCTGCTGTTTACAAAAGTAAGACCAAGAGTTTTCTTTCAATTCTTAAGAATTTAGGCTTATTTTAGTCTGAAAGTGAGGATAATAATTCACCTCAAGGCTTAACAAATAAGGGTAGCAAAAATCAAACAAGGGGTGCCTGGGTGGCTCAGTCGGTTAAGTGTCCGACTCTTGGTTTTAGCTCAGGTCATGATCTCAGGGTTGTGGGATCGAGTCCCACATCAGGCTCCAAGCTGGGCATGGAGCCTACTTAAGATTCTTTCTCTCCCTCTGCCTTCCCCCACCTCCCCTGCTTGCGCACTCTCTCGCCCCCTCTCCCCCACCAAAAAAAGTCTGCCCTAAACGTAAAATATCCTCAGTCAGGAGTTTGAAAAAAAGGCTCACAGAAGCTCATGTTAAGACATTTTCATGTTAGCAGTAACTTCCAACAGGTAAATTTCTGTTAAACTTTAAATCAATAGTAGTAAAATTCCAATATGAATATTAATATGGTAGTTATCATTTCTGTAGGACTATGTGCCTTTTACAATTATTGTTTTATGTAAAAAGTTTGTGTGCTAAATGTCAGACAGATCAATTTTTAAGTAAGCTCTATGCCCAACATGGGGCTTGAACCCATGAACCCCAAGATCAGGAGTTGTATGCTCTACTGACTGAAACAGCCAGGTGCCTCAGACCCTCAATTTTAGTCAAAAATTTTCGATTACATCAAGCAGATCATATGTAAATAGAAATCCAGCTTAAAGTATCAAAAGACTGGTGATGGAAAGCCCATCTGGTGGAAGCAGCATAGTGGAATCAGCTGGCCCTATGCATCAGTCTGGCTTTGCCAATTACTGTGTGACCTTGGGCAAGACACTTCATCTGTTTGGGCCTCAGTGTTCTCATCTGCAAAATAGGCACATTACCTACCCCATAGAAATGTCACGAAGATTAAGTAAAATAAGACCGTGCTTCATTCAGGTTGTAGATGCCTCCCAGACACTGCTTTCCTCCTCATTCCAGATGCTGGTTATTATAGGCTCAATTGTGTCCCCCACCAAATTCATGTTGACGTCCTAACCCCCAGTACCCTCAGGTAGTGACTGTGTTTGAAGATAGGGCCTTTAGAGAGGTAACTAAGTGAAAATGTGGTCATTAGGATTAGGGTGAACCCTAATCCAGTATTGACTGGTGTCCTTATAAGATTAGGACAAAACACACAGAGGGAAGACCATGTGAAGACACAGGGAGGAAAGAGGTCAGGAGGCCTCAGAAGAAACCAACCCTGCCAACAACTTGATTTTGGACTTTTCGCCTCCAGAACTGAGAAACTATATTTCTGTTGCTTAAACCACCCAGTCCGTAGTATCTGTTACGGCAGCCCGCGCAAGCCAATATGCCAGTCATGGCCAGAGGTGACTGGAGTCCCCTGATCGCAGGTTGCTGTGTAAGTCCTACTTCGTGTGCCACGACAAAGAAGAAAGTTGAGAAGCACTAAAATACAGACTTAACACACTTGGCTTCACTCCTGGCCTATAGTAAAGACTCAGTAAGTGGCAGACAGTATGGTCCAATTTATGAAAACTGAACGTAAGCATGAGAATATCATTATATTCTTTAGCATTATTTAACCGGTTGCTCACAACACTTAGAACCCAGGAACCAACTGCCGAAAATAGAGTAGAGGTAGAAAGAGTTTCAAGAAGCAGATGCAGGGGTGCCTCACTGGCTTAGTTGGTAGAGCAAATGACTCTCAACCTCAGGGTCATGAGTTCAAGCCCCATGTTGGGTATGGTGCCTAAGTACCTGGAGGAAAAAAAAAAGCAGCAGATGCAAGCATATGAATAAATAACTTATTTTGATGGCAGGAGCTCGAGTTTTCCCAAGGCTAGCCCTCTACTGAGAGAAAACCAAAGATTCATTTTTGAAAGTGATAAGGTGCATTTTAGTAACTTCAGTAAGCATAATATTCTATTTCCTATGAAGTACACTTTGTATTTCTGCATTTGTCAAAACAATTTTAAAAACTGTACTAGTACAAAATTAGTTGTGAAACACTGAGCTGGCAATTTCTCACACAATAGTAACATTTTTATGTACATGACATTTCCTTTGGGTACAGAGGCACTGAACTTTAGAATTTGGGATTTCAGAGGGCAGAATGTGTATTTGGGACACAGAAGAGACTAGATTTATGAAGCTCTCATTTCCTCCTTTCCCTTTCACAGCTGATCAAACAAACCAGAACTCTTCCAGAAGATACTTTTATGGCTGAGACAGGCTCTCAAGTTAAAAACAGGTAAGCCTGTTCACAACAGAACCCACTAGCCACACACGTAGTTTATCAAGAACTCGCAATGTGGTTGGTGTGACTGAGAAACTGGTGGTGGGTTTTTTTTTCAGTATATATACGTATATATATATATACGTGTGTGTGTGTGTGTGTATATATATATATATATGTATGTATTTTTAGTAATCTCTATGCCCAACGTGGAGCTTGAACTCATGACCCTGAGATCAACAGTTGCATGCTCTTCAAACTGAGCTGGCCAGGTGCCCCGGGTTTTAATTTTAATGTAAAGTTAAAGCAATAATGTTTCAGTTATTGAAAAGAAATTAAGTATGTCTGCAACTGTATGTGAATCTAGGCTTTCAACTGTAAATTGTATGAACTCTAAATACAGATCAAGTACGTCCAAAGAACATTAGCATCCAAACTGAATGTGTAATAAGTAGAAAATACACACCAGATTTTGAAGACTTAATATGAAGAAAAGAATATAAAATATCTTATTAATATATGTTTTTATATTGTTTACATGTTGAAATGGTATTTGGCACATGTTGGATTAAATAATTTTATTCAAATTAATTTCACCTTTGTTTTTAATGCGGCTACTAGAAAATTTAAAATTACATGTGGCCCACATTCTATTTCTCCTAATGCAGAGGTAAACTGTCATAAAGCTAGTTAAACTTGACTTATGTGACCATATTTCCTGAATAATTCTCCAGCTCTCCAGAGTGAGTAGTTAAAAATTCATTTATGTTAATACTGTGTATCTCCTGGAGAAACTGTGGGCCTGTAAGCTTTGCAAAGCTGGTAAAAACTTTGCATTTTAAGACTAAGGTTAAAGTAAATAGTTTAAATGACTAAGAACCTGAAATAATATTTGGGTCATAACTGTATTTATAAAAATTGTATCTTGGCTCTAGTCAGGACTGATTTAAACATTACTTTGGTTGATACATGTTAAGATACACATTTTGGAAATTTTGTGAATTATAATAAAACAGAATTTGGCAAATATGTGAAAAAAATGCTTTCATCTTCTCTCAAACCTGAAGAATTCTATTACTTTAACCTCCAAAAAACCTTGATTCAGGTAGAAATTAAGGTGTCTAAAGCAAGAAAGTAACTGATTGTCAAGATCCTGTTAATTTTAGGGTAGATTAGCCCTATTCTCTACCCGCATTATGTTAACTTAGATGTCCTAGTGCCCATTCTCTTTTTTCAGTTCATTAAAGAGAAAGCAATCAAAGTATTCAATAAAGTACACTGGGCTTGAAAACCTAACCCACACATAATTTCAACTTTTCACAATTATTTAAAATCATACCACAATTACAGACAGGTTACTAAGGCTCTTAGGTTCAAATTATTTTTAAGATTAGGTAAAAATATGTACTTTTTAAAATGAGGTGTCTATTTTATGAGATTCAGCCTACAATAATCTATAGTATAATAAGGTCCCATCTCCAGGAAGTTATCAGACACAATACACAGACCATTTTCAGGATCAATTAGAATTCAGTATATCTGACACTTAAATTACACTTAATAAAATTTTATATTCCAGGATAACTGAGATAGTCTTAACTTCATCAAACAAGTATCACTGCTGACAAAAATTGAGAATTTATGGGCTGAATGTCTTGATCCGATTTCACTTTAATTAGACTTTTAAGTTTTCAGTGACCTGCTTTTAAAAAATAAGGAAATCCATGTTTCTCAGAAAAGCTGAGTTCAGAATTTTTAAAATAATCCTGTACTTTGTAGACTTTATTATATTCATTTTGAGTTAAAATACACTTTTAGTTTATATGTTTTTGAATCTACCTTAAATAGGACACAAAGAGCCCACTGTACCACACAGAGATTAAATGTTGACAGTGACTCGGTCTTCGGGGCTTAGAAGATATTAAAAGGACAGACTCTCCAAGGTTGTCCTCTATCACATTCAGCCGTGACTTATCTTGTAGAAGCAATTGTGTTGCGTACGAAAAATAAAGTGGAACAAACCACTCTACCCAACTCAACCAATATAGGGCTTCCTTTGTTCTACAGAACATAACTGGAAAGGTCAGCAAGACCTGTGGCCTGGACATTCAAGGCTTAGAGAAGTCTCATTCAATGCCCCCAAAGCAAGATGACCCAAGACTTTCGGAGAGGTCGTAGAGGAAAATGAAAACCGTTCATCAGTACCGAATGCTAAATCCCCACCGGGACTGCACGCGAGGCAGGACGCGCGCACCTCGGGGCCTGGATGCAAAGCGCGAGGCCTGCCCGCTCGCCCTCACCCGTCCAGAGGCTGTTTGCGAGCCGAGCGTCTCCGAAAGCCTGCCTCGCAGCGCGCAGCTGGCTCGAGCGGAGGAGAGGAGGCCGCAAGGCGCGTCCAGGTCAGCTCTGCCCGGGGCTCAGCGGGGCGGCCGGGGGCCCGTGGGGGGCGGCCGGGGGCGGGGGCGGGGGCGGGGCCGGCGCGGGCGGCAGCTGCAGGTGTTGAGCGGGACCCGGAGCACCTGCTAACTGGAGCTCGCCGGTTTGCTCCTGCTGGGCGTGAAGGTGTTCCAGGGTTTCCTTGGAGAGCGTGATGACGTGCACGGGCTCGGGCTGTGCGGGCTCCATCTGGCTTTCGATCATGTCGAGGCCCTGAATGTGCTCCGTCTGGCCCTGAGGGGCGGCGAGGATGAAGTTCTGCAGTTGCTGGGGCTGCTGCGTGAGCAGGGCGAGGTCGGCAGCCTGCGCGGCCGCCAAGTTCTGCGAGCTCTCCGCAGTGACGATGCTGAGTCCTTGGCTGGGGCCGGGCATGAAGTTGATGTTATGTACAGAATTGGTGACGAGAAGCTGAATTTCCTGCTCGCCAGAGGCAGAGAGCTGATAGGGCTGCAGCTGAAGAATACTCCTGACCTCCTGGGTGTCAGGGCTGCCGGACACGCCGCTGGCGTCCGGCGCGGGCTTCTCTTTGCTGTGGATTTTCAAGTGGGCCTTCAAGTTGTCCAAGCGAGCGAACTGTAAGTTGCACTCGGGGCATGAGAAGGGCTTTTTGCCCGTGTGCAGAATGCAGTGTCTCCGCTTGGCACTGGAGTCTGAGAACGATTTGCCACATATGCCACAGGAGTAGGGCTTCTCTCCTCTATAAAAAATACACATTTGACTTTACAAACGGCTCTGCTTATTACTTCCTGATTATTTAGGGAGAAGAAGTCAAGAGTAGAGGACAATTAACTCGACTGGGCGTCATAAGCCATGGGTTCTTCTGCTAGCTTAAGGAGTCAGAGCAAGTCACCACTTTCGGGGGTTTCCGTTTCTGATCCTAAAGGAAAAAAGACGAGGCGGGGTTGCTGTCTGAGAAAGGGTGGTGCATGGGGCTGGGCTACATGTGATAACATTTTATGATGCTACAGTCGTATTTTAGATAAGAGAGCAAATATTTATATATTACACACATAAAGTTCCTTTTTGTTTTGTTTTCATTTTCATTGCCAACTTTTAGATTCCTGTGGCCAAATTTAAGTATATGTGATTGACTTCAATATTCAAAACGTGAGTAGGGACGCCTGGGTGGCTCGGTCAGTTAAGCTTCTGACTCTTGATTTCGGCTCAGGTCGTGTACCTCAGAGTTGTGAATCAAGCCCTGTGTGGGGCTCCATGCTGAGTGTGGAGCCTGCTTAAGGTTCTCTCTCCCTCTCTTTCCCACTCCCTCAAAAAAACCCAAAAAACAAAAACCCCAAGTTTGTCTTAGAAGTTACTATTAGTTAGTAATAGAAGTTATTTGTCTTAGAAGAATTACTGAATCAAATCTGGATGTGTGAACAAAAATGTTTATTCAGAAAACATCAGATTTAATATTTATTTTTGACTGAAGATTTAAACTTTGGATCAGCCCCCAGCCCAAAATAAAAATTCAAGAAATGAAATCAGTAATGCAAACTTTTGCTGGCCAGAACCAGTTTTCCTGATTTTGCCTAAGTTAGGAATTGCTTCATTGTAAAGATAAAATATGGTAAGCTACACAGAAAGTTCTACCCGTGTAATAATTTGGGGAGAAGGCCTGTATAAGTAACATGTCACCCAACTGAACACCAGGGTTGAATGAGGACTCCCATATAAAAAAAATATCTGTAAAACTTTACCTATGGATTCTGATGTGGGTCTGAAGAGAACTCTTTGCTGTGAAAGATTTGCCACAGATTTCACAAGTAAATGGCTTCTCACCTAAAAAAGGGACACTGTTTAGAAATATACATCCAACACAAAGTGAAAAGCAAAAATCACCCCACATTTTCACAATATTAAGAAAAGAAAAAGGCAATACCACTTGACTCCTTAATGAGCACGAATGAATGAAGCCCTTACCAAACACCTACTATGTACCTAAGCACTGTATGCTAAGTGCCAAGAGGATACAGAGAAAGTGTAAGATATGGTTCCTTCCCTTAAAAACTGAAACAAGGAGGTAGATGATTATACACAGTAAACAAAAGAACACACCACATTTACTCCCGTACGGCCCACCCTGAGATAACTCAACTCTCATACCTGACCTTCCTGGGGACACTGGTCCACTAGGGTGACCTGCATATTAATTCACATTTATGTCTGCCTTGCAGTGTATCCAGAACCTGACCACATCTCACCACCTTCACTGCCAACCCCCCAGTCCAGGCCACCACTGTCTCTGCAGCAGCCGAACGGGTCTCCCCACTTCTGTTCCAGCTTCCCTGTTGTCCACAATAAATGCAGCAACCACAGTGACCCTGTAGGCAGTCTGCTCATTTCACACTTCTGCTGCAAACACTCCAAAGGCTCCCTGTTCCCATCCGGAGATAAAAACCAAAGCCCTAGGCCTAGAGGCATCACACATCTGTCCACCCCCCCCCCCCCCCGGGTCCTTGCCCCAAACTTTTCTAACCTCACCAGGCACTCTCCCTTTGCTCACTGCTCAGCTCACGGGCCTGGTGGAGAGTCACTGGACACCCCACCCCGAGCAAGCCCCGGCCAGGGCTCCTGCCCCCACCATTCCTCCCCCAGCATGTCTTGCCTAGGGGATTCGCAGTGTGGTTCACCCCCTGTACCGCCTTCAAGCCTCTGCTCAAACGTCACTTTCCCAGCAAGGAGGCCTCATCACCACCGAAAACACTGTCCCCCGCCCCTCAACACTCTTTAGTCCCCTTCTCCGGGTCCGTTTCCCCACAGCGCTAGCCCCACCTCACAGACTGTGCGTGCTGTTTATTGTCCATCTCCCCCATTCTTAGGAGGAGACTTTGTGGGCTCGTCCAATCCTAGTACCCCTGTGCCTGGAATCAGGCCTGGCACACTGTTCCAGAAATCCCTGATGACTGAATGAATTTCACAGGGTGGAAACTAAGGCCCACACAAAGCATGACTGTTCCAGACTCCACTAGGAATTCATGAAGCTTCAAGAACCGTTTATTCAGCATTAGTCTGTACGCTGCACATACAACCGACAGACTGTCATGTCCTCTGGAAACAAAAGTAAGTGGTCCTCACACAGGCAAGGGAGCTATGAATTTAAAGAAGAGAGAACAAAATCCCGCTTAACTAGGTAACAGCCGGGGACGGGTGCCGTTTGAAGTGCGGCCTCCCTTTCATAGCCTCTCCCGGAAAATTCACGCTAGACATCTTTCCACGCTCCATCTAGGTGGAGGACGCTGGTGGCAGCTTGGGTGAGTTGGCGTCTCCGCATCAGCAGCCCTTACCACTCCAGAGGTGAAAACCAGGCCACTGCCGCTCTCCTTCCACAGCCTCCCAAACCAGAGCTGGGGCCCGCGCTGACCTCAGTGTGTTTGCTGCTCCTCCAGATCCAAAGACGAGGACCTGCTTGTCATGTCAAGTTCCGTTTCGGAAATATACTAACGATGTTCGTCCTGCCATTCAATGCCATCTGGGTTGACAATCTCAGAAAGTCTTTCTGTTAGCGAATGTTTGAAATCATGGACATTCTTTCCAAGAACACAGAGTCCTTCAGAATCTATCTGGACAGGGCCACTGATGACCACTTCCACGGCCACCACACTGTACGAGCCCCCGATTACTGCAACAGCCTGCTAATGGGTCTCTCCACCTGTGGCTCACCACACCCCACACGACGCTGGGATGATCCTATTAAAATTCTAAGTCCTATCATCTCGCTGCTCTCGTTAAAGTCTTCTCGCTCAGAACAAAAGTCCAGTCTTCACCATGGCCTCCAACGTTCTGAAGCCTGAGTGCACACCAGAATCACCGAGGAGATTTTTACACAGAGCAGTTCCGAGGCTCTACCCCAGGTTAATTCAGTCAGAATCTCTGGGGTTGGGACCAGGCTTTTTCTTTTTTAAAGCTTCTCAGGTGATTGAGGCCCGAGCCTCAGCAGCTCGGCTGAGAGGCCTGTTACACAGATTCCATCCAGTTGCCTCTTCTCTGCACCTACCCGAAGCCTTCTGATGCCCACCACCCTGTCTCAGGCTCAGTCACAACTGCCTCCTGGCATTTCTCTGGCAAGGTGGAAACTCTTGTGTCTCAGGGCTTTGCACCTGCTGTTCCCTCTGCGTGGGATGCTCTTCCCCTGGGCAGGCACAATGGCTGTCTTCGCTCCCCACAGCATTCAGATCTCTATTCAAGGTGTTCCCCCCCATCTGTGAGGCCTTCTCAGACAAGTCCCCACGGAAAAGGGCAGCTCCCCTTCCCACATCCTGCCCCCTTACCCTGCGTTTAGTTCTTCACAGCACTGACTCCCACCTAACATGCTATGGAGTCCTTTTTCCTTGTCTTCCCTGGTCCACAGCAGGGGCTCTGGCCACCTCATTCACTGCTGCAGCCTCAGCACCTAGAGAGAGTGGTGTCTGGGACCCAGGAGCTGTTCTGTAAATATGTGTTAAATGGATGAATTAAATGTCACAGAACCTATTCATGATAATGTCTGTAGAAAGATTGTATAGAGATCCCTCTTCATAGAATTCCTACCCTATGAGACACTTATTTTAAGAAAACAAATTACATTTAAGGAGAAAAATTTGTGTTTTAAAAAAAATGCCCAAAGCAGCATAAACCAATCTGATATATAATTTTAGTAGACAATTTAACAGAATCATTAAAGAACCAAACTGCAGGAGGAAGCTTTTCTTAGAAAAATCTAACAGGTTCATTTTTAAGAAGTGCTCCTTACCAAAAGGTCTAAAAGACCTGCACTTTTACTTTGCTGTTCTTAAATTAAAGAAGTTGACCTGCCCTGATCGATCCTGCCTCCTCTTTATCCCTGAAGCTGATTTTTCTGGAGGTAGCAATGCTTAAGTTGTAAGTACTGGTTCTAGGGGAGGAAGTGGGAAAACCCTCAGTGCTTATGCTACCTGTGTGTGTTTCATTTTACTTTCTTTTTGAAAAAAGTTCTCTCCATAATCTTCAGCACTGAGGTACACTAGGAGTGAAACACAGAACCACACTCAGACTTGTACTATTTTGTGGTATTAAATGAATTTTCTTTTTTTCTTTTTCTTTTTTTTTAAGTAGGCTCCACAGCCAGCATGGGGCCCAACATAGGACTTGAACTCACAACCCTGAGATCAAGACCTGAGCTGAGATTAACAGTCAGACACTCAACCGACTGAGCCACCCAGGCGCCCCTCAAATGAATTTTCACCCAGGAATAGTGCTCAGTAAGCCATCTCTGTGTTGCTAAGAAATAAGAGATGGGATCTCCCCACAGAATGGTGTCAACAGCCTTCTGCCTTGGACTTTTAAATGGTCTTCTAAAATTCCCACCTGATTTATAACAAATGGAGCCTGAGGAGAGGGCTCATTCTCGTTCTTCTGAGAACGTGAAGTGTACCAGAAAGGAAGGACAGGATGGGAGTTGTACCTGTGTGTGTTCGTAGATGCTTCTTTAGCTGAGACACATCCATGAATTTGCGACGGCAGTGGTTGCATTCCGGTAACGCGTGGCCTTGTCGCAACAATAAAAAAAGTGTCAGTGCCTATATGCGCTCTCTCCCTGCATTTCTTCAGTGATTTGTATTAAAGCACTTCCCTGAAAAATAATCACTTTAAATACGGTACTTCAATTAAAACAACAGTAATTTTTTTTATTAATTTGGTAACAGTTCATATTTTCCTATGCATCTCAACTCACTACTTCCCCAGGAGAGGTGGGACCCTTCCAATCTCCCTAAAAGTAATTTTCTTCTTCCCTGGAAGCATTGGTGCGACTGTGGCCAGTTGACGCCAAGTGTCACTCCCAACCCCTCATTTATTTATCAGTTGGCAGGGGAGAAAAAGCTAGGTGGGAGAAAGCCTGGACTGACAGCTATGGGGTGGGGATATTTCGGTTTAGGCACCATTAACAACCAATCTTAGTCAAGTGGCACTTCTGAAAGATACCAATTCTGTAGGGTTTCTGTGTATGGCATCAAAACTGTAGTATAAAATTAAATATAAATTACAAGGTAGTAGAGAATAACACAAGGACATCTAATTTAGATTGCTTTTTAAGATTCTTTCCCTAAATACAATTTTCCACAGTATGACCCTACTGTTTCAGAAGTAATTTGTATTTATGTTTCTCCCCCACCAATCCAAATTTTCTCTCTTTATTGTACCTGTATGAACTCGGTAATGGCTCTTTAGTTGCCTTTTCTGGCTGAAATATTTTCCACACTGATCACAGGTGAAAGACTTCTGTCCTGCCAAATAAAAAACAAGACACTAAAACATGCAAAAACAACAATAAAACGGTGGGCCCAGGTCCCCATTTTCCATGAATGATAACAAGTGACTTGCGTCCATACCCAAATGCCCTCAGTCAAAGCACAGTACCATAAATGTGCAAAGGTATGTAAGGCAGTAGGGAGTGGTGGGGACTGGAGCAGAACTGGAGAATTCAAGTTTCCCCCAAAGTCACCAAAGTAAAATAATCCTAAGCTCTGGGAGTTAAAACGTGTGTACGTTGAGCTCCCGGTAGCTGGTTCATAAGCCCTAGTTTAAAACAGAACGCCGTGCACAACTCTACACTACGGTCTGGCAGAGGCAGACACCACGTGGGAGAGGACACCAGGCTGAGAAAAGACCATTCTGACCATGGGAACGTCCAGCCCAGGAACCCGGTGGCAGGTGGCCTTCGGGTGCAAGTCCAGGTACCTGAATGCAGGCTCATGTGCTCCAGCAGCGAGTGCTTGGTGGTGAGAGCCTTGCTGCACACGGTGCAGGTGTAGGGCCGCTCGCCTGTGTGCATCCGGGCGTGGACCTGCAGGGAATGCTTCTGAGCAAAGCCTTTCCCGCACTCATTACATTTGAAAGGTCGCTCCCCTGGAATGAGAGCCCCAGAAGCGTGGTGTGAGCAAGAACATGCACATCTTGGTTTCCTCCTACATTAAAACGACAATCAAGGGATTTCTCTTAATAGGCACATATCCCAAAGGCCCAGCACAGGAGAGAAAACATCAGCAATAAAATCTGGCAAGCCGGGACAGATGACTCCGACGCCAGCAGCGAGGCGTGCTGAGCTACAACCTAAGACAGAGCCTCCACAATGCTCAGCCATCGGTGGCACCTGTTATCTCTGAAAGTGGGGGTTGGGGGACAAATGACCATCTGTGTCAAAGGCACTTAGACCCCCTCCACAAGGCCCAAGGAGCCAGAAGACTGGCCCACTCCCCAACAAAGGATGGGGGCTGTTCTCTGAAGAAGGCAAAACAAACAGTCTCTGGACTGAGGGTCTCCAGGCACAGTGGAGTAGGACTGCCCCAGGGACGGCAAGTCCAAGTTTATATTGGGGGTGATGAGACTGCCCAGCCTTCTCCCCTGCTCCCGCTCCAGACACTGGCAGGCAGGCCCAGAGCCTCAGGTGGGAGGGCAGAACATCTTCTTCGGGAACGTGGTGGGCCAGGGTAGGGGGGCTGCAGCTGGGATGCCAGGTGTTGGGGAGCGAGTGGGGTCCAGCCACACCACCCCCAGTGAGGCCGCCGTCTCCAGGCCCGCTCCACACCCACGCAGTGGCCAGTAGCTAGCAGTCAACCATTCCAGCATAGGATTAAATGTGATTTTTTTTAAAACCACCATTCAAGGAAGGCCTTTTAGTAGCTGAAACAGATCAGAAAAAAAAAGCAACTTGCGGAAAACAGGCTGCCCAAGGGGAAGAAAACGGTAAAAACTGACAAACAAGCGACTGCTGTTATTAACCTGCTCACAGAGGGAAGATACTACACTGTGAACGAAAAAGAGGATTCACAATAACTAAAAAAAAAAAAAATTTAGAGAAAAAGGGCTCCTAGAAGTAAAACAGTAAGAGTAGAAAGATAAAGGGGAAATCTCCCAGAATGTAGAGCCAAAAGTGATGGGAATTAAGAGGTAAGGACTTTAGAGGGTGGGTCCAGAGGTTCAACATCCAAATTCCAGCGAGTTCTAGAAAGAGAGAGCAAAGAAAACTGACGGGAGATACCATCCATGAAGGAACTGAAAGACAGGAGTTTCCAAACTGTATGGATCTACGGGTAGCCACTGAAATGGGACAAAAACAGACCCACGCTAAAGTGAGTCACTGCAAAATTTCAGAATACTGGGGGCAAAAGGGAACATCCTACATGCTGTTTTCCCTAACAAATGTTAGAGAACTATTTAACTCTCAACTATCCTCTATTACAGTTCAACAAATATTTCCCAAGTGTCTACCTTGTTTAAAGAACCAGAGTTCAAGGTTCTCAACCCATCTTTCAAAAACACCAAGGCCCCAATTAAATCAGGAGCTCTGGGGCTGCTGCCCAGTCACTGGTGGTTTTAGAAGCGCCCTAGGTGATTCTACTGGGTGGTCAGGTTGAGAACCACAGGGCTAGCTCTGCTGGACGAGAGGAGCCTTAACTACTACTAGTCCCTATACTTAAGTTGACAATTAGGTTGAGGGGTATTTAACTGGTAACTACAACCCGACCCAAAGCAGAGTGAGTTAAGTAAGGGAGGGCTCAAAGGAGGAAGGGATTTCTGGCTAGGGCCACACTATCCAATATGGTGCCAGTTAAATTAATTAAAATAAAAAATTCAGTTCCTCAGTCACACCACATGTCAAGCTCAAAATCGCACGTGGCTAGCAACCACCATATACAATGCAGATACAGAACACTTCTGTCCTCACAAAAGGGTCTATTGGCCAGCGCTGGGCCAGAGGGACCAAAAAGAAGACATTTAAAGCTAAATGGCTGAGTGAACAAGCTGTCCCCACAGACCTGGGCAAAAGCATAGCTACAGTCAAGATGAATGTTCACGAATCAGAAAGCAGAGTAAATCTGGCTAGAGTTTGACACCCGGGCATTAAAGCCTGGAACCAATGACTCACAAATAAGAACAGGGTTCTGCAATCAGGCTACCTGGGTTCAAATCCCAGCTCTGTCACTAAACGGATGACCTGGGCAAATTATTTCTAGGACTTGGTCTCTTCATCTGTCCAATGGGGATAACATTTCCTATCTCATAGGCCTGTTGTAAGAACTAACTGCAGCAATACGTACGTAAAGGCCCCATTATAATGCCCATCACATGGAAGTGGCACAATCAATGAAAGCTATCATCATCCCTCCAAAACAAGCTCCACTAAGCTGCGAAAGTATAATTACCCGTGTGGCTCCTCTGGTGGATTGCCAAAAAGTGATTGTACTTAAACACTTTGCCACAGTCCTTACAACAGGCCTCAGGGCCCCCCGGGCGCTTTCTCTTTCCACAGACCCTTTTGGCTGAACTCTGCTCGTCTTCATCCCCGACAAGTTTGTAATCTTTAAGTTTGACGGACCTCCGAATCCTCCGCTTGCTGTACCGACTCTGGCTGTCCTGCCCATCCTGGGTCTTGGGATCACAGTTCTCATCTTTTTCAGCTGGCGTTTCCTCCCCTCTATGTGGCTCAGAGGCAGGCTCAGCCTCTTCCATTTCTTTCGCTGGAATCTGTTCATTCAGTACGACATTGTCTCCCTCTTTCGCTACAAAGTTATGTCTATTTTGAACTGAATTGTTTACTCTCAGCTGTATTTCTTCCTCTGCAGCCAGCTGTGATTTCCCCTCCTGCACACTGTTCACTTTTCTCGGTCTTCCCCGCTTCCGTTTCGGAGGATCATTTTTCTTATTAGAAATCACCACCACTGGAGCGCCAGCAGTGTTCAGAGTCATTGGCTTTGGGGGGCTATGATTATTTTGAAAATCCGTGTAAGCCTTTACCAGGTCATAGACCTTTAAGAACTGAGCGGTGGCCAGGATTTGTTCTGCGCTTTTCTCACTGGCCTGGAGACAACCGGTGTAGATAAACTCCAGCAGGATACCAAATGTGTCGGCAACCATGCCTTCCAGCATATAAATGGACTGGCCGATCTCCCCCTCTTCAGCAAACATCACTGAGAAGTATTCACTACTGGCAGCGAGTAAGGCTTTGTGAGCCCGGAAATGCACATTCTCCACGATTAACGTAATGTCACAGAGGAAGCCCTTCTTCCGCTGAGCCTCAAAACTGGCCAGAACAGTGTCACTGTGAGTGTCTGAGTGTACAACGAGCTGCCCAGAAGGCTCCGATGACGTTTCTGCCATTTTCTTTAGAGGCCAAGAAGCCCGAAGCCTGAAATTAGAAAATAATGATTAAAAAGGAGGAAGCATCATCTAACAGGTTAAACCTAGCCCAAGTGAACCTACTACTCGCTTCACACTGTTAAATGAATTTGACCATTGACCACTTTCAGAAGTCGACTTAAAAACTTAGCTTGCCATTCTCACCCTTGTTATACCATGACCTAGTTGGGTGAATTTCCAACATCCATGTTACTTCTCGGGGTCTGCTTTCTCCTCTGTAAAATGAAGGAACGGCAATCAAGCATCTTGAAAGTCCTTCCCCGGCACTAACTTTCCACAGTTGCACGCAGACCAGAATGGAAACTAGTGTCTCGATTTCACGCATTAGCCATTTTGTCTGTGAAAACAGAAAAAGGGAGCAAATAAAATGTACACGAGCGAAATGAATCTGGGGGTAGCTGCAACTGGGTAATAACCGAAGGCGCATCGGGCCTCGCTTTGGAAGGGCTGGCACGATCGCCCAGGCTGGCCGCCAGGCAGCGCACAACGCGGCGGGCGGACGATTCCCCCGGAGCCCGGGGCCCGCATGGCTGGGCCCCCACTCCCGGCCCGGCGGGCCCCCTCGAGCGGGACAGGGGAGCGTATGGCCGGGCAGTTCTCGACGCGGCCGCAGCTCCCGCGCCCACGGTTGGCGGGCCCGGGGCGGACCTACCTCTCGCGGCGCCCGGCCCACCCCGCGGCCTGGCGGGCGCACTGGCGCCGGGCCCGCCCTGGCGCCCCGCTCCGCAGAACCCCCCGCCGGGGTTCCTGCGCCGCCCGGGCTGGGGCCCCTGCGCCCCCGCGGCCGCCGCGGCTGCCAACCCGGAAGCGCCGGCGCCGCGAGCCTGCGCGCGGACGCCGGACCACGTGGGCGCGGAGGCGCCCGGGGCGGGGCGGGGCGGCCCGGAGAGCCCGGGCGGCTCTGGCGACTCCCCTGACCTGGGGCGGCGGATGGGGCGTGGCGTTGTCTCTCCGCAGTTGTGTACGTTTTATGTCGTGATAGACGGCATGTATCTCAGCGGCACCTTAATCAACTTGGGCTCTTCCCAGATGCGGAAGCTCGCGTTAAGGTCTCGAATGTGTGACCAATGAATGAAATCGCCTTTACATTCTTTACCATCATCGTCACTGTCATCATCTAACGCTGATATAATAATTGTTATTATTTGCCTCCTAATTATTTTGCACATCTGTCTTCTCCTTTTCCTTCCCACTTCCAATGCCTAGTCCAAGGGAGTGAAGAGAGGCGCTCTATCTAGTCGGACAGATCTGGGTACTGAGTAATCTTGGGCAGATTCCTTATCCTCTCAACCTTGTTTACCTTACCTGTAAAATGGAGATGTTAACACTAGTGTCAGCTGGGTTGGGTAGCTGTGAGTAAACGAGATTACGTAGGTAATGGATTGTCTGGTTTAATTCATATCTACTATGATTAAAATTATCATTATGGTTATTCAGGTTTTCCTCGTCTTTCTGACCAGTCTTAGTTGCAGTGCTGTTCTCTCCAATACACAGGAGTAGGGAGATCTCTTCAAGTACAGATCACTCCCGGAGACTGGAGTCATTCCCCTGATTAAAATCCAATGGGGCTTCCATGTACCCTCCTAATAAAGGCCAAGCTTCTTGATATGGTCTACAAGCCCCGGCCAAATTCAGTCCCCTCCTACTTCTCTCTCCAACTACTTCAGCATTTTCACTCTCTCAATTTATGATTCACCAATACCTAATTGCTTATACAGATCTTCCTCCACTTACAATGGCGGTGTGTCATGATAAAACCATTGTAATTTGAAAATATCATAAGTTAAAAATATTCTAAGTCATTTAATACACCTAACCTACTGAACATAATAGCTTAGCCTAGCCTACCTTAAACATGCTCAGAACACGGACATTGGCCTGCAGTTGAGCAAAACCATCTAACACAAAGCCTATTTGTGAATGTTGTGAATGTTGATTATCTCCTGTAATTTATTGAATACTGTACTGAAAGTGAAAAACGGACTGGCTGTCTGAGTACAGAGTGGTTGTAAGTGTATGGGTTGTTTACCCTCATCATGATCCTGTGGCTGACTGGGAGCTGCAGCTTGCTCCCACTGACCAGCATCACGAGAGGGCATCCTGCTGCATATCATAGCCTGGCAAATGATCAAAATTCAAAATTTAAAGTACAGTTTCTGCTGAATGTGTATTGCTTTCGGCATCATTGTAAAATCGAAAAATTCTACGTCAAACTGTCGTAAGTCAGGGACCATCTGTAATTTATCCCTCCCAAGACACACTTCCAGATCTCCAGCATGCCGTTTATTAGCCTCCAATATTTTTTATTTATTTATTTTTAAGATTTTTATTTATTTGAGAGAGAGAGAGCCAGAGAGAGAACATGAGCAGAGGGGAGGGGCAGAGGCAGAAGCAGACTCCCCACTAAGCAGGGAGCTCAATGTGGGGCTTGATCCCAGGACCCTGAGATCATGACCTGAGCCGAAGGCAGAAGCCTAACCGACTGAGCCACCCAGGCGCCCCAGCCTCCAAGATTTTGAAATTGAAGATGTAATTACCAGCCTGGCTTTTTAAAAATTTTACTAGTTTGTATTAAATCAGCCCCTTCTCTGAGGTCTTGAATTGCCTCTAAGCCCTAGGATTTGTGGGGGTCCAAGTGAGATGGGGTACCCTGCCTGACTTCTACATCAGCAGAAAGAGAAGTCAATCTGAGGGGTCAGCTACCCCATTATTTCTCATTGCCACAGAACTGCAGGAAAAACATTGCTCCTACACAGGTCCTCAATCCAACAGCAGAAAATAACTCAGGGCCCAGTTAAGCCAGGCACTCCCACTCCTGTTTCAGTCACTACTCACTACAGCCCAAGCTCTGTGACCGGAGGTGGGTCTGGGGGATCTTCCTGCATCTGCCGCTCACCGCAGAGACAGTCCTTTCTTCAAGGCAATTTTGTTTAGGATCCGTGTTGGCTTTTCTTGAACTATTTATTGTTGTTCTCTTTGGTTATGGCCAGCTGCTTTACCTTCAGCTGATCTTCATAACTTTGAATCTTGCAGAACAGGTTTTGGGGTGCCAGTTATTCATCCAACAAATATTTTTTCAATGCCTACTAAGTGCCAGGCTCTATGTCAGGTGCTGGGGATACAGCAACTAACAAGGCCCTTGCCCCCGTGAGCCTTACACTCTACTAAGAGGAGAAAGGACAAAAACACAAGTAAACAGATCATGTAGTTTCAGAAAGTGTTAAGCGTTATAATGATGTTGAAGATTGTCAGGGAAAGTGAAGTGAGTAGGGTGACATTGAGCTGAGATCTAAATGATATGGAGCCAGCTTTGTGAAGATCTGGAATAAGAATGTTCCAGGTAAGGGAAAAGCAAGCATAAAGGCTCTGAGACTGGAAGTGAGTTTGCTACTTTTGAGGGACAGAAAGGCCGGTGGCTGGGAGCACAGTCAATGAGTGGGGAGGAGATTGGAAGTAAGGTTGCCAGATCAGACAACCTAGTACAACCTAGTCCTAGTCCTAGGAAGGTTGCTAGGACATCCAGCAAAATTTGAATTTCAGATAAACAATGAACAATATAGCATAGAGCATTCTTGTACTAAAAAAATGTATGTGATCATCTGAAATTCAGATTTAATTGAGCATCCTGTGTTTTATCTGACAATCTTCATTGGAAAGGATGTCTGATTCTGACAATACAGGAAGTTAAATTATGAAAGCCTTTTATGAAAATTATGAAAAACACTTCCACTACAGGATAGCTAGAAATGACAGCACAAAATGCGTAACAGAACTTAAAGGAAAGTAAGGGGCCAAAAAATAGAGGGAATTGAAATCAGAGTAGTAAACCAGTCTTGGAGCCCTGGAAATCCTAAGCCATGGTGTTTAGTGAAACCAGAAGCTAGAGGCTTAGGTTTTAATGGGTAAACTGGGACCAGAAGACAATGCCTTTGATGTGTATGAGGTAGGGAGTCGGAACAGAAGCCCTGCTGCAGAAACCAGGCCCCTCAAAAGGGCTACAATCTCCATGAAAGGGTGGGCTAGAAAAAAAAAAAATCTGCCTCCTGGCAAAGGGAGAGAGCAAGAGAACATATCTTTCTTGGCCTCGGCTTCAGGTGAGGAGAAAAAGTCAACTCCAAAAATTTGTAACCATTCATAATTTTAAAAAGAACCACTACTCGGAAAGTCCTTCCAGAAGTTAAAATGTAATCAATGAAATTTAAAAATCAATGGATAATAGTTCAGTAACGCTTATACATAACCACACACAAAACTCCATGGACAGATTAAATAGTTGAAGTTGATCTACCTAAAAGGTAAATCTAAAAATATTGCCCATAAAGCTAGTCTGAAAAAAGGAGATAGAAAGTATGGAAGAGAGGTCAAGGGACACAGAGAACAGAATAAGAATGATTTGTCATATAATCTAACTGGGATTCCAGATAGATTAGTGAGAATGAGAGAGAAACAATATTTAAAGATGCTGATGAGAATTTTCCCAAATTGGTGCAAAACACAAATCTACAGACTTGGAAAACAAATTCCAAGAAGGCTAAACAAACAAAAATTCACGACGAGATACCTTGTAGTCAAAGTGCAGAACATCAAGATAAAGAGATCTTAAAAGGATGTAGAAAGAAAATACTAATTACCTATCAAAGAAACCCAGTTCACTGACAGCTGACTTTTCGACAGCAATAGCAGAAGCAAGAAGTCTTTGGTGGAGTGATATTTTCAAAATTTACCTATTTCTTCCCCTTTTAAATAGACTTTATTTTTTAGAATAGTTTTCGGTTCACAGCAAGATTGAGCAGAAAGTACAGAGAGTTTCCACACGGCCCCTGTCCCCAACATGCGCGGCCTCTCCTACCGTAACCTCCAGCATCAGAGTGGTACATTTATTACAGTTGATGAACCTACACAGACACATCATTATCACCCAAAGTCCACAGTTTACATTAGGGTTCACTCTCCATGTTGTACAGTTAATGCATTTGGACAAACGTATAATGACATGAATCCACCATTATAGTATCCTATAGAATTGTTTCACTGCCCTAAAAATCCTCTGTGCTCTGACTATTCATCCTTCTTTCACTGCTAACTTCTGAAATCAATTGATCTTTTTACTGTCTCCATGTGCCTTTTCTGGAATATCATATAGTTGGAATCACACAGTATGTGACCTTTTCAGATTGGCTTCTTTCACTTAGCAATATGCATTTAAGTTTTCTCCATGTCTTTCCATAGCTTCATAGTTCATTTCTTTTTAGTGGTGAATAATATTTCATTGTCTGGATGTACCACAGTTTATTTATACATTCACCTAATGAAGGACATCTTGGTTGCTTCCATGTTTTGGCAATTGCTCCTGTAAGCATCTTTGCGCAGGTTTTTGTGTGGGCTAAGTTTTCACCTCTTTTGGGTAAATACCAAGGAGTGCTATTGCTGGTTCATATGGTAAGAGTATGTTTAGTTGTTTAGTTTTGTAATCAACTGCCAAGTTGTCTTCCAAAGTGACTGTAGCATTTTGCATTCCCACCAGCAATGATCAGAGTTCCTGTTATTCCACATCCTCATTAGCATTTGGTATTGTCAGTGTTCTGGATTTTGGCCATTCTAATAGGTGTGTAGCGGTATCTTGTTGTTTTAATTTGTATTTCCCTAATGACATTATATCGAGCAGCTTTTCATGTGCATATTTCCATCTGCATATCTTCTTTGGTGAATTGTCTGTTCAGGTCTGTTACTCATTTTTAGACTGGGTTATTCATTTTCTTATTATTGAGTTTTAAGAGTTCTCTGTATATTTTGAGTAACTGTCTTTAATCAGATATATATTTTTGCAA